TAAATTACCTGTAGGCTCCCAGCAGAAACAATTTCCAAAAGCATTAATTACCTGTACTTCAAAGGCTGAACTGAAGGCTTTTCAGATTGCAGGAAAAATGCACCGTGTGCTCTCCAACATGCAGACTTTTGTGCAAGAGTTAGTCAAGAGGTTAAGACCCCAGTCTTACTCTCACTTGATACCCTCTAGAGCTTGTTTTCATGAAGAACAATTCGGGAGTAATTGCAGGTACAATGGACATAGTTTATTCCAGAGTAAGGCAGCCTTACTCTTTCTTGCTTTGACTTTGAACATAAAAAAAATTGCTGTTAATCTACAAAGAGCGTGTGCCTGCACTGGGATGTGTTCAGGAGCATTCCTCAGGCTTGAGTCCTACCTTGATCTGAATTGTCCTGTCAGCCCTTAGAAGCTGTTAGTGGTGGAAAGCTTGGAACCACTTAAGCATACTGCTGCACTTATGGCAGCGTAGCTTTACAGCTAAAAATGGATTTGTTTTTATCATGGCATGACTCTCACTTCCTGTTAGTAGTAAGATAGGTACCTTGAGATTTTACCTCCAGGCAGTTGCTGGAGGTTATCTTGTATACTACTTAGACAACTAACAGAAAAGACTACAGGTCTGTAGTGGAGTATAGCACTCTTACACTATCTTGCTGAGAATTACCTTGCCTCAAATTTTCTTTCTCATGCAAACATCACATCTTTGAAACGCCTGGCTGGGCACTTTTGGGGTATTGTCATCAAGTTTTCCTTTGGCTCTCACCAGTTTCAGGACCTGTTTTCCTGTATTGTCTTCAGCGTGACCATGTGAAGACACTGCTGCTATACAGACAAGCGATCAGTCCTCACAGGAGTTACTCAGCACTGCTGTTCTTCATGAGTTGAAGGACGGACTCAAGGCAGCAATATTGCTCATAGATTATATTACATAGTGTTGTGTAATCGATTCCTACATAATTCATTGGCTCGTAGGTTGCCATCTTTCTGATACAGACTCCATTCCCTTTGGATTTCTTTTTTTGATTAGATGTTCCTCTTCACATATACTTTGAAACATTATTAAGGAAGGATGACATCAAAGGAGAACCTGTTGATACCTCATCTTTGGGAGTGGAATTTAAAGTATCTCCAGACAATGGTATGTAAAGCAAAATACTTTGATATTTGCAAGACCATTTTTCATTCATTTGCCAGTACTTTCTGACCTGAAGAGTGTCGATTTATAAACTTACCACAAAGCAGGTTATCAGAGAAGGTAACCAGCTAAGGCTTTATGTGGAAAAGGAATCTCTTCCCAGACCACAGTGTCAGGTTCTCCTTTGTTGCACTGAAATCATCCCATCAGAGCCGTAGGAGGGCATTAATACAAGTAGGGGGAGTTTGGACCGTGGGTTCTCTGCAGACACAGGTGCCTGACTGCAGTACAGTTTACTATTTGGATTCCTATCAGAAGTCTGGTTTTTTTCCCCACTATAAATAGTTCAGCAGCTGAGATCACCTGTAAATTGCACGAATGAAAAGTAAGTTTTCAACTTGATACATGCTTTTTCTGTTGTAGACTATAATAAACGTAACATTTCTGTCAAACAATGGAGCAGTGGCTGTTTATCTAATTCCGAATCTCAGTCAGTGTCAGGAACATCTGACCAGCTGTCGGAAGGAAGAAAGAAAAGACATCTAAGTGAGACAGCAGTAGGTGAGACAAAAATTAGTGTTGTTTAGGACAGCACTACTTCTTTAAAAATATGTACTGTATAGATTAGTTTATAATCACTGAGCTTTGAGAATTAATTTTGTCTCCAAAAAGGATACTGTATGAAACTTTAAAGGAGTGAAGAAATGGATTTACAACACCATGAAAATAATGTGCTGTTATAAAGCACAGTAATCTTTCGCTTTCTTCTTGAGCATATATTACAAAATGAGATAAGCTTCTGTATTTTATTTTTGGAATACTCTTAAAGGAAACTGCTCAGCAGTCCAGCTGTGTTTTTCTAATACTGGGTGTGATTAGTTTTAATATGAAGGGTTTTTTTTATAGTAGTCAGTGAAACAGACCAAATGGCAAAGTTATCTGTCAAATCTTGTGCCCAACCAAACTTCTACTATTCCTGGCATCTTTGGTCACCTATGTTTCATTTGTTGTATGCTGTCATTTGTGGTTCTGGTTTTCTTCCAGACTGTTAAGAGGACTTGTGGGTAGCTGGTGCTTATAAATAGTGTTTTCACCTGTGTCATCTTTACATTTTATGACACTGAATCTCTACTTCAGCACTTGATAAGTTAATGCAAAGTGCTCTGGAAGTTCTGTAGAATAATGTGATAATTTAGGGACGAAAAATTCAGTGTAAAGATAAATACCATTTTACCTCACCAGGCTTTTACAATGTAAAACCTAACAGATTCTGTTACAGATTCATTTATGTGAACTTTTGGAAAACTTTTGGCAAAATTCCTCACAAGACAGTTGAAGAAAATAAATCATTGAGTAAGAGGACAGACTATATTAGTTTAAAATTTCCCCTGAGAAACAACTAAAAGATGTAAATGATCAGTTAACATTGTGGAAAAATACACTTCTGTTGCATATCCGGGTAAAACTGCTAGTGTAATCTCGCAATAGAGGTGGAGACATGGGAATTACTGCAGAGATGATTTAACAAAAAATTAGGATCTATTAAAAAAAAAACCAAAACCACCACAACCCCAAATCAAAAAAAACTATTGAATAGAAGGTTATAGAAGAAAGTAAAAGGTGTTTTTGGACAGACTGAAAGCTGTCTCTGATTTAGATGAAGTTTTTTTTTCTCTGCATCATTCCCCTTGTGCATTACAGTCCTCCCCTTCGCTGTACAGCCTTCTGTTATGCTCTGTGCCTGTCTCCACGGGGGGTGCTGTGTCCTGTCCCCTCTCCCGTCACTGATGCTTTTTTCCGTACCATCCGCTCCCCTCACCAGTCACTGGTCCCTAAAATGTGGATGCTGACACAAGTGTTTCTTGGAACCATGTTGTTTCCCTAAGTGCACTGTTATGCACACTGAGATCAACAACTGGAGTTACTTGGGAGCGCTAGTAAGAGAGAAAACTTCTTGCTATAAACCTTTTGAAGTTACAATTAGTCTTCTGCCAATAGGATTTAGTTCTTTGAGTTAACAGAACAAAAAAAGCAATCTTTTATCATGAGGATCATAGTTTCCCAATGCCAGAAAACTGCGATGTGGTGTATTTGTGAGTAGCAGCAGAAATTCTAGCTTATTAGTGCTATGGGTGTAGTACTGCATATTTATTCCTAATTTGGGCTCCAAATTATCCATGGGGAATGTCAGCCTGATGAACAAGGCCAAAAATAAAAACTGTGTGCCAGGGAGTTGCGGAGCTGCCTGGGAGATGAGAGTTCGTATGCTTGACCCAGCCAGGGCAATACTTCCTTTAGGATCATTCTTACCTCTTTTTCCATGTTGGAATACACTGATTCTTTTTATTAGTTGGTATATTAAATATGAGTTCTCTTTTCTTACTGGAAATTAAGGTAGAAGGAAAGCAGAACACAGGTGGTTAAATTCTGAATTCCTCCTAAATGCTGCTTACACTGGGACTGAATAAGAGAAAACAAGAAATACGATTTGTCTGGTGCAGTGGACCACTACTAGAAGAAGTAGTGGTGGAGATCTAGAGACTAATTTTATTTGTTACCCTTGCTGCCAGTTTTGTTTTATCATTTATCAGGAAAGAAACTGCCAGTGAGGGCTTAGTGAACTGGTACATTAGTGAGATGCAGCCCAGCTGGAGAAGCGCTGTTAGGGGACACTGAGGAGCATTTCTCCAAGTCTAATTGCATTCACTGTGTGTGTAGTCTACGGCAGCTTCCAAAAAAAGAAGCAGGATTTTCCCATATGAAGCTGGTTCCATGAGAAGAAATCCTTTGTAGAAGGAGAGGGATGATTTTGTGGAACAACAATGACAGGATGAATAACAAGTGTTTATTTAGATGGCTTTTTTTAGTATTCATTAAATCGTAAGTGGTTAGCTGTGGGCTTCTAGAAATGACTTTACTATTACTGTATGGAAAAATATCTGTAGTCTAATAGACAACAGCTGGTATGCATTTTTATTATTATTATTTGTTTGTGACAGGCGAACGTAACACTAGGTTTGAGACATTCTCCTTTCAACACACAGAACCAGAATCCCATAGCAGTTTTGCTGCTGTGACCAATGTCAATGCGATGTCTAGGCCCACTCACAGTACTTCATCACAGGTAAATCTAAAATGTATCACTGTCTTAATTGAAATATCAAGAGAGTTGTGCAAAACCATAATCCAAAGAATTCTGCAGATCATGTAACTGGAGTGTAAGTTTAGTTTATTGTCATTGGGTCTTTTTATTTTTTTCCCCCAAATTTCATTAAATATACTGTGATTTACATCCCCAGTTTTACACAAGAGCCCTTACAACGCTTTTTTCTTGGTGCAGCTATGTAAAATGGCCTCATGGTGGAAATACAGTCACAGAATTTGTTACCTCTCAGCTTCACTATTTAAAACCTCTTGTGCGGAACTACAGGCAAAGTTTCTGGTGTATAAACCTGCTAGGGAGCAGCACAGCTCTGGTTCAGTGAAGTCCCCGCAGAAACATGCTTTGTTTTATTGGAATTCAAAGAGAATTTCATCATAATATTCAGATTTCAGTCCCACAGTTCTGCTAATCCTAGTGGTATGCTGGTGCTGTGTAAGTTGTGGTGTTTCTATAAGGTGATGACTCCTGGAGAGCTGAGTTTAAATCTGTATCCCCAATGCAGTTTTGACAATGCACACTCCTCCTTTTCTCCCTTGCCTGAGCAGACCATAGTCAAAGAACACCCAAATGGGCATTTTAGCATAGACTGCTTCCATTAATATTCAGCTAACAATGGTTATCTTGAAATATGGCATGTATCATGATTTAAAACTAAACTTCCTCCTGTAATCAAGGGACTTCAGGTATTGACCCATGTAGGTTCCATGCACTAGTGGGCAGAGAAAACCACCAGGAATCCTACTGTGGTCACAGCAAAAAAATTCAGTTTCTGTCTTTTGAACGTCTGTCAGAAAACCATTTTCCATGCAGGCCATTCTTCACTACTAAATGTAGCTTCATCATCTTGGAATTCTTAATCGTATCACACTGAAGAACTACTCGGTTTACGGGTTAGTAGATAGATTCTTCTCTAAGGTTGTCTTTAAAGACTGAACATTATGAAGAAGGCAGCATTAACTTTGAAGTTCTCGGAAGTGTTCCAAATTATCTGTAACTGAAATCAAAGAAGGGAAACTCCCACCGATTTCTGTAAAAGTTATGCCAGCAAGATCTGGCATCTCTCAGAGATGAGATAGTTTCAAGATCTGTTGAGATTCGGGGGGGGGGGGGGAGTTAAAAG